TCCCCCTCTCCCTCCGGCCCCATGCTCTCCTTTCTGCAGAGATTAAATCCTGACCAGGTGGGTTTATAATAGTTCTCCTTTGCAAATCCAGGCTCCAGGCTCTCCTCCCCAAACAGAGCCTTGTCCCCCTGGTGCGCTTCTGAGGTCGCGCTTCCGGCGGAGATGCCTTGCGCTTGCGTCTGCCAAATATCTCAGTCGGAGATAACTGTTGAGCTGCTTGACTGACGGGCTCTGCTCGTTTGGCAGCCGCGACTTGTCCCCGTGTGACGGCCATTTTGACGGCGATGTGTTGGGGATGCAGTGGAGAATCAAGGGAGGAAGAGGGGGTTAAGTAGTTTGCCGAGGGCGTGAAAGGGGTGCCATGCGATGACGCGTTGTGGGCTGCACCCCAACCCGCTTTCGGCTTTGGAGGCACCGATAATCTATGGACAGTTCATGGGTGCGCAGACGTTTCAGTTGACGAAAAGGATTTGATAGGCAGGATTGAAGTGAACCAAATCATGGAGTTGTCGCTGAATGTATTGATAATGTGATGAGTGGAGGCGCTGAAGGGTCGCCCAACACAACGCATGCCATTAAACAAGCTGCGCCGACCACCTCTCCGCACAGGCGCGCAGGCCATGCTGATTCCAAGTGACGTAACTCCCAGCGTAGATACTGTACAATTTCCGAACTGCTGCTTTTCAAGTAATCGCAAATTCCAGCCGTGAAGCAGACCAACCTTCATCTCCGACTACTCGACGTGTTCCCCGCAAGGAGCTTCTTCATTTGCTTCTGCACGAACTTCGCCCCTTCCTTCTTGATGACTGGAACAGCATACTGATCGAAGAGGTCCTTAGCTTGACTTTGCCAGGCACTATCCTTCCTTCTAGGTGCGCCAGGTCTGTCGCGGCGATAGTCGCCTCGCGACCTAGGCCTTTCGCGGAGCGGATACTGGTCGTCTCTCATATCCCTGGTAGAGTAGGTGCGAGGATGCCGCGGTCGGCGCTCTTCATCGGGATAATGCTGTCGGTGTCTGTTTGCCGCATGATCATCGTAAAGATTGTCGTAGGCTTTATCACGTGGATCCTCGTAGCGTCCGTGTCGGCGACGTGGTGGAGGTGATTCTGAGTCTGATTCATAGCGTGGACGGCCTTCGGGGTATGTTTGACGTCTTGGGAGTGGGTGAGGCGGAGCCGCTGGTTTTTCGTTAGTACACGCTGGACCCAGGTAGCAAGCCAAACCAGACTCACGTCGGCGTCCATAATCCTCCTCGTGCCGTGGGCGGCGCCGCCGTTGGGGATCTTCAGCTCGCGAATAGTCCATATCTTCGCGGTAATGTGGCTCGTCTGAATTTCCGTCAGAGAAGCGCGAATGTATCGCCTTAAGGAAACTCACTGCGTCTGCGGTCACTATATGAGGGAGCCATGTGCTTGATGCCTGGAAGGATTGCGGTTGCTATAACTCTATATTGTAGCCTGCAGCCGCCTATGGCGTCATAGACCAGGGGTTGGGTAAACGATTCGACGCAGCAGAGAGGCTGGACGATATCGTTATGATAGGGTTGGCGAAGAGGGTTGATATATGCAGTAGTGTCAAGCCAGTAAAAAGTGAACACGCAGCGAGCAGAGTGTCTGGTGGAATTGATCATGGTGCATTGTGTTGCACGGGGGGCAAATGGATGCCGTGATGTGATCAGCAGGTTCAACCCATGGCGACCACCCCATGCCAATTCGGGCAGTGCAAGGCGCAGCTGCAACAACGCATATCCAAGGCCTTCGAGACCGTTCACAACAACATAGTGCGACAGCCTATGATTCTCAGCATGCGCTAACACAGCTAATCCACTTTACTCACCTTTACGAGAAGAAAGCCGACCCGCCTCAGCACGACGACAGGCCGGTGCGCTTTGATTCTGCACCGCAACCTTCACCGCAACGAAGAGCTTCTAGTGCCTGATCTTTATGACACATCTTGAAGAGAAAGCTCGAGCCCTTAAGCTGTTCCATGGCCATATCACTCGGCATCGTCTCCATCTCGCCCCGGGCTCCGACTTCGTCCCCTTCCGCGGCCTCCTCCACCCCGCCTGTCGCGATCACGGCCATGTCCGCCTTTAGTGCTGGGAGGTGGTCGTACAAAAGCGAAATCGACGGCGACTTTCTGCTCAAGTAGCTCTTCGCCGTTGGCGCCCTTGATGGCGGCTTGCGCCTCTTCGAGTGTGGGGTACTCGATCAAGACATAGCCCTAGGTATCGGTCAGATTCGAGTGACAGCAATTGGTTCTCCGGTCTCTTGCCTTGACATAACCTGTCCTCCTGTCTAGGTTTAGGTGTATGTTCTTGATGGTTCCAAACTCGCCAAACATGTCTTGTATGTCCTCCTCGGTGGCTTCTTCATGGATGTTGGTGGCTATGATAATCCAGCCTTCAATCGAGCGCACTGCGGTTGCGCCTTCTTGCGTACGGGGGTCACTGGTTGTGGTGTCGACTTGCGCCTGTTCTGGCTGATCCAGCTCCATTTCGTCCGCCATATTGTTGAGTTTTTCTAGTGAAGGGCGGCGTTGGTCCCGCCGTTTCTGTGCAGTTCCTGAGATATCTTGAGGTGAGAAGAGTGCAGGGCGTGTGTCGTCAGCGCGTCGGGACCGGAGTGTAGCGTGTAAGGTTGGGGTGATGGAGCTCAGGAACTACGTGAACGCGCCAAGGTGTGTCGCGCACGGGCTACAAATAGCGAGCACGTGATGAATGTACCAGGTCGCACTAGCCTCATCAAGCATTACATCGACGTCAACCTGACCTCTCGATGACTTTGACCAGACAGAATTCTGCATAGGCGGAACCAGAGATAAAGATGAGGGGCCTATCCGTTCTGGACGGATGGCTTTACTACAAAGATCCGAGTCTGCCCCCTCTTTCCAGTCTCGCGTATTTGTTCCTCGCTATCGTATTCTCTTCCGCTCTGATTGCTCTTGATCTGGGAAAGAGAAAGACTGTTTCGTTCAAGATGGGCGAGGCTTCGGGGTTTACTTCGGTAAGTCAATGCACGTTCCCTATCCCATTATCAAACAATCAACGCTACTCCAAATTAGTGCTTACAAGAACGCAGGTCGCGATGATTGGCTGCGGGAGCATGGGAGGCGGTCTCGCACTCCTATTGGCCGAAAATGGAGTCAAGGTCTCCCTCCAAGACCCCTCTGAAGAAATGATGGATGGTGTTATCGAAAAGGGCGAGAGTTCTGGCTACCACGGGATGCTTGCCAAGTCCAAAGGTAATCAAAGTCATGCAGCATTGGCTGTAAGGCGGTCACCTAATCTGTGAAGGTTACAAGTCTCTCTGCGCCTCGCTCTCGAAACCGCGACTTTTCATCTTCTCTATCCCAGCTGGAAGCGTTGCAGACAAGGTTCTGGATGGGTTATTGCCTCACCTTTTCGAAGGCGACATCATTCTTGACTGTGGAAACGAGCACTTTGAGAACACGGAACGCAGGCAAGGCCGGGCCACAAAATCAGGCGTCCGCTATATTGGCTCCGGTGTCAGTGGCGGCTACCAATCAGCCCGAGCTGGCCCTTCCTTTTCCCCCGGTGGAGACGAATCCGCAGTTCAAGAAATCATGCCTCTGCTCGAGACGATCGCCGCCAAAGACGACGAGGGTAGACCTTGCGTCGGCTACATTGGCAAAGGCGGTGCAGGACACTACGTCAAGATGCTACACAACGGCATCGAACATGGCATGATGAGCGCCATTTGTGAAGCCTGGGGCATCATGCGTCAGATGGGCTTGGGGTACGAAGAGATCGGGGATGTTTTGAAGAAGTGGAACCAGAGTACTGAATTCGTACGTCGTCAAGCTGTGAATGGTTGCTGTTACTAACATCAGGTCAGAGGGAAACTTTCCTTATAGGCATTGGCGCCGACTTGTCCCATAAGCATGAGGATAGTGCTGGAAAGCCAGCAGTGATATCAGAAGTCCTCGACAAAGTCGTCCAGGACGTGACAGGCGAAGAGGGAACGGGGATTTGGAGTAACACGCAGGCGATTGACCTGCATGTACCTGCCTTTACGCTCAACATCGCGCATGCATTCCGACTGGCGTCCGCATTTCGAGGTGAACGACTGCGTGCGAATAACGCGAGCAACGGAGGGTTCCCTTCTGGCGAGCTCACAGTTCAAAATAAGGACGCCTTCACCGAGGACCTCCGAAAAGCTACTTATGCTGCATGTCTAGCAAGCTTTATCCAAGGCATCAACGTCATCTCTCGCGCAGATCAAACGCATGAGTGGGACATCAACTACGGCAACGTTTGGAAGATGTGGCGAGCCGGCTGTATCATCCAATCCGACTACATTTCCAAGGAGATACTCGGCCCTGTCCTCAACTCCAAACCGAATCCCAAAGACCTCATCTTCCTCTACAACCAACGCATGATGGAAGAAGTGCGAAAGAGCTACCCGTCTCTTCGGAGGGTCGTAGCGAAAGCCGTTGAAACGGATCAGGTTATTCCTGCCCTAAGCAGTACTTTGGAATACTTCAAAGTCGTCACTGGAACGGATCTGCCTACGAGTTTCTATGACGCCGAACTGGATTACTTTGGCAGCCACATGTTTGATAAGAAGGGCGAAGAGGGGACTGAGAAGCCGGAAGAGGGAAAGCATCATTTTGAGTGGAAGCCGGCGAAGAGTCAGAAGGAGACCTATGGAAAGTCAAACTTGTGAGCCAGTGAGCGATCATGTCGCGGGGCCTTGCGAGCTTGTGCAACAGGGAAGCAATGGGGTGCCGATAGGGTTACGATAGTCTGGGCGTATAGCTTTGGTATTCTGCATTGTTATTAGGGATAGGCGTTGGTAGGTGGACATATGGGGTTAGACACGCACACAAACTGTGTCAAAGATGAATGGAGATCAGAGCCCATGCGCGTGGATATGAATTGAGCATTGAGTCCTATCAGCACGTTAAAAAGGGAGCCGCAGACAGCGCTTAACATACTCAGTACATAAATGTAAACAATCAACATAACATTCAACAACGGTGAGATGGCCGAGCGGTCTAAGGCGGCAGCTTCAGGTGCTTACTAAGTATATGCTGTTCAGGAAACTGGCGCGAGTTCGAATCTCGCTCTCATCAACATCTTTTTGAACCTTTTTGCTCACTGGCGTGCTCCTGGCAAACCATTCAAAGTCTGTCTGTCTGATCCTCTCAATATCCTGCGGTGTCCTCTCGCTGCGATGCGACCTGATAATGACATCTCCGCGAAGCACCGGCAGATTTTTGCTGCCTGCATGTGCTCCAGTGGCTATCAATCTGAACCAGACTCCCACGATTGCTTACTCAGCGCTCCGCATGAGCAACATAGTGAGACGTCAGTAGCGGGCACCTCCTACAACATTAATGCGCCCTCTTCTTCTTTCTTGATCTGGTTATCTGGATTGTCAGTTTCTGCATCTTGATTTCCACCTCGCGGGCTTCCTGAGGCTACAAGGCCGGCTCCCCAACGGCTGCCTCAAGGCTACCGATGTCTCTGTTCATCGCAGCACGGCTGAGATTCCATCCTCTCGGTCCTCTCGAGTGACCGCACAATGGCTTCGGTTGTCAAATTAACGATGCTTGTCGTCTGGTACGGTTTGCTTGGATCTGCGTATCGGACACTGGGAGGCCTTTACTATGGCCAGAAAAGACTCTCTACTGCTCCAACCACAGCCGCTGACGTAGCATATACACAGTTGCACGGGGCTTTGGACGTAATGCAGTCGAAGTTTTATTCCCCTTGGCTGGGAACATGGCCAGAATCCATAGACTGGACCGGGGCCGTTTTGAATACGCACCTTTCGGCCGTCGTGGGCTCGATTTCACCAGTTAAAGACAAGGAATCACTTCTCTGCCTGTCCGAGAATGAATTGAACAAATACTTCGACCACTCAATTGGCTACTACTTTGTGGAGAACCACTTCGCGATCCGGAACGAAGCATACGACGACATGCTTTGGGTCGTCTTGGGTTGGCTAGAAAGCATGCAGCTTATCGATTCGCGCTCGCAGTATTACATCACGCAATCCATCCTCGGGTGGCATGGGGAACAGTTCATGCCGGCTTTTGCCCATCGGGCTCGCGTATTCTACGAGTTGGCTGAGGATGGGTGGGACGAGAAGCTTTGTGGAGGAGGGCTGACCTGGAACCCGCGGTTGCTGCCTTACAAGAACGCCATCACCAACCAGCTCTTCATCGCCGCGAGTGCTGCTATGTACTTGCATTTCCCTGGGGATGAGAATGAGTCCCCCTTCCAGTCTGCAGGAGCTCCGACGTACGACGCTCGATATCTGCGCAATGCCGTCAAGGGTTATGAGTGGCTTCGACGAAGTGGGATGACCAACAACCAAGGCCTCTATGTGGATGGTTTCCACATCAAAGACTACCAGACAAACCGAAGCAAGACTGAATGCGATGACCGAAACGAGATGGTCTACACATACAACCAAGGGGTCATTCTGTCTGGGTTGCGTGGGCTGTGGGAAGGCACTGGAAACACCACCTATCTCGACGACGGCCACGAGCTGATCCGCAATGTCATCCGCGCTACTGGGTGGCCAGAGACAGGCGCATCGTCTGCCGGATTCGCTCACGAACGATGGAGTGGTCTCGGTAGTCGCGGCATTCTTACTGAACTGTGCGACCCATTCGGCACCTGCACACAGGACAGTCAGACTTTCAAAGGGATCTTCTTCCACCATATCACGGCTTTCTGCAAGTCATTGCCGCGAGAGGCAAAGGCACCTGGCAAGACACGCGGTGCTTCGAAGCAGATTGCAGCTGCACACCGTGCCTCGTGCGACGGGTATCTACCCTGGGTAGAGCACAATGCCCACGCAGCACTCAATACCAGAGATGCTTCGGGTGTATTTGGTTCTTGGTGGGGCCTGGGTCTCTCTGAGGACAAGTCGGGAGCGCGAACACGTGGTAGCCGCGTAAACCCTCTCTCCGCCATTCCTGATGGTGCGATTGATTACCGCAATGATCCTTCCACAATCGACTCTGACGCGGAGAACGTCTCGACAGCAAGTCGGGCTATGCCGAAGTCTCCAGTGACTCCATCGGGCGGTCTTAACGACCGCGGTCGAGGCAGGACAGTGGAGACGCAAAGTGGCGGTCTCGCAGTGACCCGCGCTTTGTGGGAATTTTTGCGTTCTTCTAACGAATGTTCTGACGATATATGATCTTCCACTGTTTCGCAATCTTCGGCATCTTTTGTCTTTTGTCGCTATTACAAATCGTACGACCTAGCCGTAACGGTGTCCTTCTACAGTTTTCGAGCTACGTGGGTTTTGTTAAACTCTTCTATCATTGACAGGGCATGATAACCGTCTCTACGCCTCGAGATCTCGGATATACAGCGACACCAGACAGCCTAGCGGATCCATCACCCCCCAAAACCCTTTCGCGCATGTAAACCCTCCTCATCACACCCCCACCTTACTATTCACCCCCGTCTCCATACTTCCTCCCTCAATAACCGTCTGCGTCGGCAACACAGTCGTATTCCACGCATACGTCGGCCCCACACACAACGCCTTCCCCATCCCCAAACTCCCAGTACACCCCTCTCCCTCCACCAGCGACGGATTCACCATCCAAAACAGATTCGCCGTGATCCCCTCCTGAATGCAAATCGCACTACACGTATCCCCCGTCTCTACAACATGCCACTTCCCACAATTCAGCGTTGTTCCGTCCGCCACAGTAGCACCATTCGGAGGCGCAACAGGCGTTCGCGTGTTTCCATCTGTGATTTCTCCCGGATTTGACGTAGGTCTAGGCGCAGGGAACGTTCCAGTAAACGTGCCACCTTGCGGACTCGCGCAGATGACTTTTCCGTAGAAGTCGGTCGACTGGTGGAGGTTCGAACAGTCGAGTCTCAGCCATGAATTGTATGCTCGCACTTTTCCGTAGGGGATACCGAGAGCACGCTCGATGGATGTGCAGGTGTCTGTGGGTTGGATGTGGTATGTTTGGCATGTCAGTGGAAGACATAGGTTCACGCCGGCGTCGATGTCGTGACAGTCCGGGATGAGCGCTTGATTGCCCATGTAGAGTGCTGCGGCGGATACGCTGGATGCGTTTGCGATGGCTTCGCAGGTGTCGCCTTGTTTGGTCGTGTAGCGTTTGTTGGTTAGACAGTAGGGTGTGGGAGTGGGCGCTGGGGGGTCGAGGGGCGGTGGAATGTCGGTTGGGTTTTTGAGGTTGCATTGCGCGTTCACGTATTCCAGCTGCTCTTTGTAGAAGGAGTCGTAGACTGAGTACTGGGAGGCCTGCATGATGGCGAGGCGGCGGACGTGGCACGTGTGGCAGAGTTCTTCTTTTGGCATCTCTTGGATCGTGTCTACTAGTGTGAAGTTTGCAATGATGTCTGGGCGTGTTAGTGTGATGCCGAAGGTTTGGGTGGGAGAAAGATACATACCGTTGCAGTACTGCTTGGTCTTTGGATCTTTGACGCATGTCTCGTTGAAACCAGCCCACATGTAGCCTCCGAATTTCATGGGCACCGCGCCCCCTAACGTCTTCCCTGCGCAGCTTGTGGATACAGACTTGAACCAAGAGCTGAGGGATGCCGAGCAGTCAGTTGTACAGACGGAATCTGTCGTTTGGACATCCTCCAAAGACCCGTGATACTTCGGCATCATAAACGTCTGAACATAGCTGATGCAATTGATGTCCCCGGACAGAGCTTTAATGCAAACATCTCCGAGAGTCACGTCCAGTTCGTCCGCCGAGTAAATTGTGAATGCTGCTGAGAGGCAGATAAGGTAGTTGAGCAGAAACTTCATTGCGCCGCTTCTCCTGGATACGTTCATCGCGTTGAGCAGACGTCTTTTCTTCCTTGACGATTGTCTAGAGAGGTGGAGAGGTCGGGGGAGACTATACTTGGAAGGGCGAAGTACTAGCTTGAGAACTCAAAGACTGCACCACCCTCGCCATGAGAGGGGCCGCAGTCATAGGGTACCCTACTGTGGAGATCTTGATTAGCATTCCATGAGCGAGCGTACAAAAGTCCCAGACTGCCTTATTTTCCCAGAAAAGCTAGCTGCGATTTCGGCCATACCGAAAATATTCCTCGCCTCTGAAGTCTTTCACAGGCCGTGCTCAGGTCTTGAAGGTTCTGGAACCCGTGAAAGTTTTTTGCAAAGCGCATGTTCATGCATACATTGCCCACTGAGCCGTAAAGACCTTCTTTTGGCCCCATTGTTGGATCTCGTGTAGGCGGCCGCCCTAGCGAAGTTCGTATAAGATTGGCCCATATTCCGAATAAGCGTAGTCGCACTTTACCCAAGGCCGTCAGCCTCGCCCTGACAACGTCAATATGCTCTGCAGGGGTGACCAGTGCCGCGTTTTCCGTTCCGGCAAATTCTCGTTAGGATATGTAGCCCTGGAGCTATAACTCTAATATGAGAATACGTGTTACCCAAGAAATGGGGTGGCCTCTTTTATTCCGTTTCCGGGTACCGGGCATCGTAGCCTGGGGATTGGAGAGCTAGAACACATACACCCATTATCAGAAAGTAGCGATAACGCCTGATAATCTTGTCCCGCGGCGAGTGAACATGCTCGGTACTGGGTAGAATGACCAACAAAGCCCCATCTGACCGCTTGGACTGAGTCGTGGTATGAATGCAGCCGAGAGGTTAATTTGGCCCCCAGGTAGAATGTACCACTTTCTGAGAATGCATCCATCGGTCTCAAGTACATGGGAGCGGCTTGAGAGATACTCCCCTGAGACTAGTCGGCGGACACCTCTTTTGGCTGCATAGGCATCAAGTAGGGGCCGGTAATGCTTGCACCAACAAAACGAGAGCGGTCTCTCTATTGAGTTTCCACTGCAGTTTCTTTTTCATTTTCGTCGGAAGAAGGCATTGCATGATGGTTTCGTTTCGCATTCTCTTGTTCCTTACATGGGCCGTTTTCGCGGTCGCTCAAAACTGTAGTCCCGCAAGTCCTTGTGAGAATGGTTGCTGCAACACACACGGATACTGCGGATTTGGGCCTGATTGTAAGTCCCACAGCCCATAGAAGCTCAAGGAAACTGACCAAAAAAGATTGCGGCGACACCTGTGTTGCAGACTGTGGAAGGAAGTCCG